GTGCAGTGGCGGGCCGGATCCGCCCCCTCGGGACGTAGTTTGCTGGTCTACTCTTATCATGTCTTACATGTTTGAATTAAACTGTTAATATTGAAATCTGAGTGTAACATTAACTAACTTGAGAAGATTTAATTATACAGGGTTTTATACAGAAACGTTTAAAATTATCGTATATTAAAACTACTTCTTCTAGGGAAACTTAATTCTATCATATACACACATTCATGAGTTTTACTCAAAAGAATTTGGACATGATACAAGGTGTTTCAAAGATAATATCATATTGCCTCAAAATGGCATTGCTTTGATTTTTCTACCCCTGTCTTTTTCAATAGTTCAAGATTGATGATTTGAATAAAATGAATGTTGTATGCAGAGTATTGTGAGTACTATGCTTTGATTTTTCTTCCCCTGTCTCTTTTAATAGTTCAATATTGATGATTTGAATAAAATGAATGTTGTGTGAAGAGTATTGTGAGTACTCTCTAGAAGAGTCTGCATATGCAGTGCATCATTTAAAGTGTTGTATTGTTTGACGGGTTATGTTGTTTGGTAAACATAATGCCAAGTCCAGTTTATATAAAGATAAGGAATTCATTTTTTTTCTATAAAGGTTTACTGCAGACATATGAACTTTTGAACATATACTATTAGACGAATGTAGGTGTTACATACCTGCTTGTTTCATAACTTCCGGTAGAAATTCTTTCCGAGAAACTTCAGCGATACAAGATCTTTTCTTGATTAAAACTACTTTATTCTTTCTCGATACAACTTTTCTTTTATAATACACGGAATTTCCACAGCCACTTTAAAGTTAACAACCTTTATAATACACGCTATAAATTATTATGATTCACACACTTTACTTAGGTGCCAACTGTTCGCTTGACTCAATTATCTATCTCTTCAATCAATCTATATCTCTTCTGATCTGCTTATATCGCTGGCTTTCTTTGTCAGGTTTATATACAAAAAGGAGGGCGTCTAGCAAACACTCGGACATTCGCGAGGTTCCCCGATAATTCGAGAAACTCCAATGCACATGCTCCCAGCGTCACGCGACTTCCGCTGTCGTAACATTCTAACACTGAACTGACTCAATCAATCAACAATTACTCACATTTACTTTATACTTTTATTTCTACATAGTAGGCGAATCTTCCCTATTCTTAATTTTCATGAACTTTCTAGGTCTTATCAATACTTTAGGCTATTATATTAAAATTAATAAACAATTTAAGATAGAGCTCACTACATTTGCACGTCATTGCTAAAATGTATGTTTGAATACATCCGCAAAAACTACATAATAGGTTTTCTCTGCTGTGCCCACCACTGGTATCGAAACCCAGACTTTAGCATTAAAAGCTCATAGACTTACCTCTGAACTACTTGGGGGGAGGGGGTTGGCAAAAATGAAAACGACCAAATCAATACACACATACACACACACACACACATATATATATATATATAGAGAACTGGTACAATAATATATATAAAAATATTTTACACTTTAAACCAACAAAATTATATTTCTTATGAGAGTTTAAAGTATGTGGCGCAAACTGGAGAGTTGTATTCGTTGTTAAAAAGATATATATAAAATACGACCTATGACTCCAGAAAATATAGTTTGTTCTATTTAAGTCAAGGGGCAAATAAAATGCAAACTGATTCAGATATTTATTGAATGATTGGCATGGTATTAGCATCCTCTAGTGGTAGCTTTACCAATTATTTAAGTTTTATAGGGAATGGATGACAAAATGTAGGAAGAAGCGATTGTTGTTTTTATATTTTGTATCTAATAACATTCACCTGTTCTCTTTAGGTTTTCTTAACGCTGATCCACTAAGAGACTTTTAAATTATTCTAAGAATAATAATTAATCTCTCAGTTACGTCTTCCTATGGTACCCTCTGGCTAATTGGATGGTATACATAATTATGTTGTTTCTTGCAGATATCGCAAATGTTACATCCTCTTGTGAGAAATTTATATTCTGCAAAGCTGTAACTGGTTTCGTTGGACTCCTGGTTTGCAACTGACACTTAAACTAGTTCATTTTGTCTCACTTGTTCATAATGCACATTAATAATAAAAATAGAAAAAAAAATAATTTAGGCTATGGTAATCAGGTACATTGATATCCAACAATTATCTGAAGTAACAAGTAAATATCCGCAATGTACAACGGATACTACGATAATTTTCAAGTAAAAGTAAATTTATCTCAGACAGCAGGGAAACAGCAACAAACAAAGAATTAATGAAAAATATTTATTCGTAAAATAACAAAAATGGCCGGTTTCCATGCTCGTTATATCACTCCACTTGGGTACTGGAGAAGCCAAACAGAACTTCTAAACTAGACGTGGAGAAGAGCAAAAATTATAATGATACCAAACTTACAGGCCAGACCGAAGTTCTAGTGTGACATTTATAATCCAAAATTACCTGCACCAATGATCATTTCCAACAAAACCCAGCTCATACTAACTTGAACAAGTCTCTGTGCTACCTTTTGAAATGAGTACATCTTCATTAAGGAGGAAATGACATAAAAAACGTTCAAGTAAGTATAAATTTTACTAAACAATTACTGTGAAATATAATCTTTGTTTACACTCAAGGATTATCACAAGTTTACGATCTTCTACATCCTGTGTACAAAAATACCAATTAACTACATACCAACAACTGCAGGAAAACGTAGAAATAATTCATTGAACATACTTAAACAAATATATACCATTTATTAGTTATAGAAGATGAACTGTACAAGTTCAGCAAACAAGAATATAATATCCGATAATTATCTTCTTAGACCACATATACGACGCCATGATACGAGCACAAATACAGCAAAAAGAAACTATTTAATGTGACAGATTCAACAACAATGTGAATATTCATTGCGTGTTTGTTAATTGAATAAAGCTATTTTAAGATATTGTTTTGCTAAGCATAAGACTGCATATTTCACTTTATTCCTTTCTGTGCTGTAATTGTTTCTATGTTGCTGGAATGTTACATTGTTGTAAAACGTATTACAACTTGCAGTATTTTTTATAGCATAAACCATATTTTAAATCCAGGTTTAATATTATCTACCAAAAGTTTTGGTTTCTTTATCTAAGAAGGGATATTAACTTATTGGAAATGTTCAGAGGAGGCTACAAGGATGATTCCAGGTATGGAAGTGTTATCGTATAGAATAACTTAAGAAAAATGGGGTAAGGATTAATTTTATTGAAGTTTACATGATTGTTTATGGGATAGATGGGATAAGGGCTTCACACTTTTTGTGCTATATTCGGAAGATAATGGGACGAGAAAACATAAGTTTAATACTTAAAAAAGGCAGGCTATGCTCCACATAAAATGGTTTTATTTTTCTAACAAGACGATTAACTTATAAAATGAGCTTAAAAGGAGATTCAATGATTTATTGAAAGTAGTTAGCCCCGCACATGAGAGGCGGAAGTTATACATATAGACGTTCTTTTCATTTCCATCTGTGGCCCGGCATGGCCAGGTGGTTAGGGCGCTCGACTCAC